AATATAATATATTTAAATATAAAAATGAATGTTTTAACTTGTATTTATTACAGTCTGAAAGCAATATTTTTCTTAGTAGAATATACTTATAACCTACTCACAAAGAGCTAAGATTCAATGAAATTATGGTACAAGTTCTGAAATTCAGACATTGGCAGAAAAGTTGTGTTTTCCATTTCTAAAAAATCTGTGACTTACCTGCATATTTACAATTGCACACAAATGTTCGAACATTTCTCCTTCCCATTGTTACAATCATAAGTGTGCCTTCATTCCCAAGATACAAGTCAATACACATCAAAAATAGTTGACTGCCAGCGGGATGGACAGACACAGACTGATCTATTAGAATGGATTTGGGAAGAGTAAATTCAAGTTAACAATGTTTCATGTAAACAATGATTGTTATTAGAGAACAAATGGTTAGTTACATTTTATCACTGACAGTATTTTTGAAATTTATTGTTCTGAAGAAGTATTAATATTTATATTTTTACTTTTATTCTCATTAGCCTTTTCAGTATCCTCCATCAGAATCTTAGCTTTAAGTTCTGCCTAGTTAGGTTAAAAAAAAAAACCCTGAAATTACAGGTTTGTTAAAACTAAAATAAGTTCTTCATGATATCTTTATCAAGCACTGAAAATACAAAATATAAGTGCTACACCTTCAGCAGAATAGGTTCTGGCATTCTGGAAGTGGCTGAAGATAACTTTGAAAACCTTCCAGCTTCGTGGGCAGTGACTGCACAGGCATTTGATGGCCAGCCTGGATTTGGAACTCCCCACTTCTGGCAAGGTCACCAATGCCACTGACATGGACAGAAGGAACCTGGTTAGTAATTCAAGCAAAACACAAAATCAGAGAAAGCCATGTTGACGCTAAGTCTCTGACACCTTCAAGTAACTAAAAGAAATAGATGAGGCTGGTGGACATTTAAAGAGGATCTTTCCCTCTCCAGGGGCCGTGGAATTAGACTCCTTGCACTTGAATAGTGACCTCACTTTTTACTAGTTGCTGTTTTGAAGTAATTGAGTTCACAAATGATTTATTACATGGGTCACATGACAGCTCTCACTTACTGGCTCTAGTCTCTGTTTCTCCAACTAGAACATACACCTCCTAGATGCTTTGATCTCTATATTCTGTTCACTTTTGTATCCTTAATGCATAAAACATTGCTTGGCACATATTAGATTCTCCTACATGTCAGTCAGATCAATGAATACATGAAGGAATGAAGTAACACACAACGCAAGCAGCGTTTCTCTCTGTAATTTTCACTACCTCGCATCTCCATCCTTTACATAGGAAGTTAACCTTGATGATGCATTAATCTTGAATACATAAATATGTGCCGCATTGCTGTTCCATCTTCTCTGGATGTAGTAACAGTAGCAGTGGTGCTAGCAGACATAATAGTAGCTGTAGTAACAGTGCTGTGCAGTAGTAATTTCAGAAGTATTGCTGAAGTGAGAAAAGTAAATGCTAGCATTTTTATTATCAGTTGTTAGCGTTTCATGTAAAAGTTGCAGTAAAGTTACTTCCCAACGCTCTTATTAAGTTTTCCAATGCTAGCAATGCCTAATTTCTAGAGCATTTTTTTTTGCAATAAGAATCTTCCAAAGTAGCTAAAAAATATATTTTATCATCCTTGCAACTGTATCCATCAGCCCTTTCTACTTGACAAACATAAGGACACCTGAGGAATAGGAAATTAGGAATCACTACAAACCAGAAGCCCCAAATGTAAATTTTTTTCTTTTTTTCTATTTAACAGCTTTATTGAGATATCCTTGTTACACACACAAAAATGCATATATTTAAAGGAAACTATTTTATGAATTTAGGCATAGGCTTACACATGTGAAATCATCACCGAGATCAAAGCAATAAACACATTTATCCCTTCCAAAAGTTCCTTCATGCTCTGTGTGTGTGTGTGTGTGTGTGTGTTTGTGTGTGTTTGTGTGTGGTAACAGTACTTAACATGAGCTCTACTCTCTAAGCAAATGTTTTTAAGTTAACAATATAGTATTGTTAACTACAGGCTCTGTGTTATACATTAGATTTCTAGAACTTGTTCGTCTTGCACAGCTGAAACTTTGTGAATTAGAAGACTTATTATTGTTAAAATATGCGTGCTACCCAAGCAATCTACAGATTCATGCTATCCCCATCAAAATCTCAATGGCATTTTTCACAGGAAAAAATATTCTAAAATTCATATAGAATCTTGGTAATACTTCACTACAAATATTTTCAAGATTTCTCAAAGGATTCTACATTTAAAACCATGTCAGTGCAGAAACAGAAGGTGCCATTCACAGCTCTTAGTTTCAAAACAGTTTTTCCAATGCCATTGGGCTAAAATCCCTAACAGTTCGATTTATTAACTCTAAACAGTTCTATAAATATTTATATCCTAACAACTTAGAATCTGTTTGAACACATAATACCTTTGAACTAAAATTGAAAGTCACTCTTCAATAACCACAGGGTATGTGCTTGCTGAGTGTATGACCACTTTTCAATCCTTAGAATCAGATTGGACGTGAATTATCCTCCTTCTTCCTCAGTGATTTTGGCATCGCAGCAACTGCCAAAAGCCCAACTTTGTGTATGTGCGGTGTGACCAAAAAGAACATGGTTGACTCTCACAATGAGACTGGTGTTTGCATGGAGCCTGACAGATGTCACGTACTGCTGTGTTGCTCTCGAATATTTAAAGTACTCTGTGGTACCCTGCGATTTTGTCGTGGCTTTGCCACACACCTGAGCACACAATTTGGGAATCCCCCCCAACCACAAGACTGAAAAATAAACCCTGTGTAAGACTAAATCATTAAAGTGGAAGAGTTTGAATGCCAGCTTTAAAGCAAAGACTTTAGTACAGGAAAAGGCATTGTAGAGAAAGAAACTGACCTGAGAAAAGGCACAGAGGTGGAAAAGTAAGGATGCCTCCAGGAATTAACTGTGAGTAGCCTTATGCTTCCTAGCCCTGTCTCCACTCTTGACCTATAGTTTTTTTTTAATATTTGAATTAATTACTAACATTAAGAACTTGTCAATTTCACATGGTAATGGATTTCTGATTTGTCTTAAAAACTAAAGTTTAGAAAACCCTGACTCCCTTCTCCCCGATACAACCACCTTCACTCCATCCAGTTCCTTGCTTGGCATCTGTAGGCACTCAACTGCACCCTCCTTAGACCGAAGTATATGTTATGTGCAGAAAAATAGTAAACAGAGCCGGAAAGGAAAATCAGAATATAATGTGGGAGTACCTTGATTTGAGGACTTACTTATTTTGTTTAGGTTTGTTTTGCATTCCCAACCAGGTCAAAGGATTCATTAATGTTTTAAGAAGACAGGAGGCACAAATTGATAGTCTGGGATGGGAGCTGGTTCGTTAGAGAAAGTAATGACCTTTGCCAAGCCAAGCACTCTGGCAGCACAAATGAGATTTCCATTTTTAACTCACAAAATAGTGCCGTGTAGACTGCAGGCATGCCTGGGTACAGTAGTCCAAGTAAGAAGAAAATAACTTCAAATAATGCGGAGGGGTTATGTAGTAGAACGTTTACGAGACATATTATGGTGTTCACTCAACAGTACTAAGTAAACCGTTTGATGTAAGAGGGGAGTGGTGAGAGAATTAATTATGAGACAGATCCTAGAAAAAAAGTGATGTGCTTCTACTGTAGGTACAAAGGTGGGATCATGAGAAATTGGCAGGGAGTGAGGCAGTAGGTTGGCTAAAGATTTTGAATTCCATCTGACTATCCAATGCTTATTTTAAAGGGAAGGTGAAGAAAATAAAGGATGGAAATTAATGCTCAGTAGGAAAAAAAAAGCTAATTTTTAAAAAACGTTTATGGTATAATGGATCATTCAACACATTTTAATTTAGTAAAATATAATTTTCTTAGGAATTAATGTGTCTTATGTAGTGTACCATGTAGAAATGAAGAAAATATTGATCTTTTCCACTGAATACAACGTCAATGTTATTTAATCTCATTTAGATTTCTTCCCACTAAAAAGTAGTCTCATTTTTTCCTATTGATCTTTAGAATTCTTGGCATTATAATATCCTTAATATCCTACAGTTTGTCAAAATAAACCTGATCATTTCCATTACAAAATACAGTGCTTTACTAAAGAATGGATTGTAATTTTTCACCATTCTTCTTAAAATAGGGCATTCTATACATGCAACATGCATCCCTAAACGCAGGTATACCATGCATACAAAATTCTACAGAAAGCACTAACTGATTTATAATGAGAATGGAGATTAACATACCTGAGACTGCAGGGGTTAAGTGGGGAGCAAAAGGCACTAGAAAACTTCTGGGGGTGATAGATATGGTCTTTATCTTGACCTGGTGATTTTTTTCAGGGGTTTATGCGTATTTCACAACTTACCAAATTATACACTTTAAATATGTACAGGTTTTATATGCCAACTACACAGCAATAAAGCAGATTTTTTAAATAGTATATATCTGTAAGAAGATACAAATATAGACTCAGCAAAATTTTATGTATAAATAACACTTTTGGACACCAATATTGAATAGTCCATTATAGCTTGTAATAATTAGTGATGTTATACATCATGATGCTGAAGTGGACACCCTTGCTCTGACTTTTGGTTCATTTTTTGCTGCACACTGTATCTCTCACACTGAAGCAAAAGAGAGTTAGGCACCAAAAAAGTCAACTTCGATATATTTAGATATTTATCTCAACAGTGTGGCAGTTTAACGTTTTAAAGTCTGTGAACCTTACTCTTGGATCTGAGTGGACTTTCATATATACTTAACCACTAGTTTATGATGAAGTCATGTTGAGTGACTTCTGAGTTTGGGTCATGAAAGGTGATGCAGCCTCTGCATAATTCACAGAAATTCACTTGGAGTTGAAGCCCTGAGCCACCATGTAGGAAGTACAGCAACCCTGAGTCTGCTGGGCTGTGAGGAAGCCAAGCTGCATAGAAAATGGTCCTTATGCTATGTCCTGTCTGATTTCCTGATCCACAAAATCAGTGAGCATGATAAAAGGTTGTTTTACGCCTGAGTTTTCAGGTAGCTTGTATTCACCAACAGTAACTGGTCTCTAATATAACAGCCATTTTAATACCAGTATTTTAAAAGAATTTTCTTTTCAAGACCTACAGGATTTTTAAAAAATAGTCGAGATTTAGATTTAAATATAAGCAGAAACCTTGGATTCCCAGATGTTTGCAACACTCTAAGCATGTGGATAAGCCTGAATTAGAAATGGTAGGAATTATTTTCGTTAAGTCTGACAGCAGTTCTGCTATGTGAGAACAGCTGCTGGCTTTAAAGAGTAAGGATTGCACACATTTAACAGCAAAACTAATATTGGTTTATTAAAAATGCATTATTGCATTTGTTTATTCTGTCAGATGACAGGTGCAAAACACACATATCTTTATTTAAAATTCAGAGATTAAAAATGGTATCAAATATGCTGTCTTGAACTGTTTTAGACAAATATGTTTCTCCTTCATGCACAACAGATAACATAATAAAAATAGAGATTTAATGGACGTATAAAGATCAAAATTCAATTTTCCCAAAATATTTTCATTTTTAACTTCCCATAGTCAAGAATGTCATTAGTAACATTTTTTCCCCCAAAAAAACAGACAGAGAACATCCTTGACAGGATGTATTGCTGATTCTAGGGCTCTCCATCAGTTATGGTGGCATGGGGTGGCTTAGAGATTGATTATATTACAAAATAGAATACATTTAATATAATTCAGTCCATTAAGTGGCATCTGCCATACACTTTAACAATAATCTTACAGTGCATAGCTAAGTCAGACAGTTCTTGAAACTAATGAAAACATGGCTCACAATTAAGTCCTTTAATTCTGCTAAAGACCAAAATAGAATTGCTTTCAGCTTCTGTTTACACAAACGCCAGAGAGCGCCTTCCTCTTCTTGTGCTGTCATGTTCCGTTTTTACTTGACGACTTATTTTATTCACCCAAATTGGCCCCCAATTGTTTTGACTATCAGAATTCAAGTTCAATGTTAGCAGACAAGGCTGAAAACAACAAAAACTACCGAAAATAATTTGAAAACCATTCTATTTTTTAAAATTTCAAACTAATCTTAAACATTAATAACATTGACATAGATCTTCTCAAAGAAACAATTTTGAAGAGGAAAAGTTAATGTAATTTTAAACAAAAGTAGTTATCTTAATCTACACAGAAACATTGTAATAGGGAAGAACAAATCTGACTCCATATTGGAGCTATTCCTTTTATTTTAACCTTTGTATTCTATTGCTTTTGCTACAAGTTAATCACTAAAAGGGTGTTGCCTGTAAGCTTAAATTATACATAATGGCCCATCTCTGGGAACCCTGCCTCCCAGGTCATGAGTGTTTTGCTATAATACCTTTGTGCAGCCACAGGAAACATCCTGACCAGGCGCACCTGTGAATGACTGCAGCGAGGAGGAAATGAACACATCCCCGCCAGAGACTGTCCAAAACCAAGAAATGTTTGACTTTGCTCCCCTTTTAGTATAAAATAAGCCTGAATTCTAACTCAGGCAAGATGGTCTTTTGGGATGTTAGTCTACCACCTTCTCGGTCTGGTCTGCTGGCTTTCCTTACCCCAGCAACCACAGTCCTTATGCAAGCAGCACTAGGTTAGACTTGGTAACGACCTTGTCCGTGGTATCTGTGTCCAAGTTTACACTCTGTGTTGTAATCCCTGAAAACATTAGTGATCAAATGACTGGGAATCTTTGCAATTTCCTGTTTTACTTTGATTTCGACGAGGACATCTAAGAAAGATCAACAAGCTAAGTCACATCAAATACGGCGCGTGGCTCAGCCTTGTAGGAAGAGAATTGGGGTTAGTATAGAAGTATTGATGTGGACAGTGGGGATGACCTCAGCATCAATGCTCATAACTGTAACAATGTCATCAATATCATGAAGGGAAATGTGCCAGTGATCTTACCTGCAGCTTTCTACTCGACTAAATGATAAACGATCTGCTATACTAGTATACATCTAGGGAAGCTCACAAAGTCACTTTTAAGATTTATGAGACAATAATAATAATATTTATGGAAGTGTTACCTTTTGAATCAAATACAAAAGAATATAGAAAAGGAAGAGCTCGGCATTATTACGACTATATTGACGATAGGGGTTTCTATTTTTCTTTTCAGTCAAAATCACAAATAGAATTTTCTAAAAGGATATTCTTTTTCTCGCTACCACTTTGCAGAAAGCAATACAGACAGAGAAGCCAAATAACAGCCTTCAAACTGAGGTTTATTTGATGTTTCAAACCCTGGAACACCTTTAGAATTAGACCTATAGCGGTGGCTTGGTATTTAATGTTATGTTATTTTTTCCTTTCTCTCTCATCTGTTTTTAAGTAGGTTTACAGCCTAGCATTCAAAGCCAATAGAACAGGGAGATGAAAGTTTATAGAGATAAAGAGAGAAGGAAAAGAGGCTTTGTTGATAGCAGTTATAGAGGGAAAAGATTGAAACTAGTCAAACAGGACTAACGGAGGGGCAGGCAGTCAGCCAGTAGTTGAAGGAAAGACAGGCATCTTGAGAAAATACTAGTACCACTGTAACAGTTCAAATGTGTGTGAGAAAGTGTTTAAAGTGAATTTAATATTGGCATGCCAAGAAGTTTTAAGACAGGAAAAAGAGAGTTTTTTTAAAAACTGTTTTTGATATTGTAGTATATATTCTCAAATATTCAGAGGGACAAGGCTCCCCTCCTTTTCCCTCCTGCTGTTTGCCTTCGGGCTACTTCCCTGCTCATTAGCACCTTCACCAGAGAGTGGGCAGGAGAGGGAAAAAGGGCTGAAAAGAGAGTCAGTCAATTACGGTTCTCATTAGGGGCTCTGGCAAAAAAAAAAGTATGGGTGGGTGGAGTCTGAAACTAGCAGCTGAAGAGAGATGTGGGCATTATCCAGGGTATTCTCATGTTCAAATCATCCTGCTCCCTGAATAGCAGAGATAATTGCATGTTGACTATATTATAATACATTTCCATAGCAATTACTGACATGTTTGCAGAAGGGAAACAAAGCAAACGGGTGAAGTAATTATCTAGGTCAGTGATTCTCAAATTTGAGCTTGCCTTGTAATCACCTGCAGAACTTCATGTAAAAAGGCAGATTGCTGGGCTCCACCCATAGAGTTTCTGATGGAATAGGAGTGGGTTGGTGCCCAAGAATATGATTTTCTAGCTAGTTCGCAGGTGGCGCTGCTGCTGCTACTGCTGCTGGTCCACACAGATCGTGTTCCAAAGATCACTGATCTAGACAATTCAGAAAAACGTTACACAGTTGCTAACAAGGAACATCTCTGACTGACTTTAATTTTTCCTTCTGGTAGGGCTTATGAGTCCTTCTACAAATTGCAAGAATTCCAGCATCCTTTTTCGACTTATCCTAGTTTGATATATAAAAAAGGAACATTGAGTTTCTATCCAACTTCTACAATAACATCCTAAATTATAAACAGTAAAAGCAGGTGTAATATTCAGGTATTTGCTTTCAAGGTCATTTTCATTTCATTAAGATGTATCAGTTATCAATGCAAACTGCTAATTTACCAATTAAGTCTATTAAGGCTGTATTTTTTCTTTTTCTTTGTTTTAAGTTAGCAAAGTAGCATATAATCTTTGAAAAAGAAATGTATGGAAGTTTAAAGGGAAAATACACAAGTCTTCAATTTCTCCTTCCATTCAACCCATAATCTAACTCTGAAGACATACTGATATATACAGCTACCCATGTAGAAGCACACACATTTGCAAATATAATAGCAAGTATCAATCCTATTAATATACTTTATATGACTATTATATATATTAGATATGGTAATTATATATTCTGTATGTTGCTTTAGTGTTTTTTGATTGACAGTCCATTGTGGATGTATCAGAAACTCTTCATTGCTCCCTTTGGCCATTTTTTTTTTAATGCAACTGTAAGATTTTAGCTTTCTCATGGCCACCCAGATTAGATTTTATTTTTCCCATCCTGATTTCCAGTTTGTTGTGGCCGTGCATGTGACAAACTGAATAACTGTAATGTGTCATAATGAAACTGAGCCCTCCTGTGGGGCCCTCCTGGGTGCAAATCCTTTCTGTGTCCCCTGTTTCTTGTTTGTAGGAAATAGGTGTCATTTAGCCTCCTAGACCTTCTCTGAGTTCCAAAGGGCAGATTCAAACAGTTGGTAGTCAGGGAAGGGAGGGAATGCAAGAAATAAAGAAGGGGCAGTCAAGGAACAATAGTGCAGTGATAAAGTAGGGTCCTGAAGGTTCCTCCTCAAGGGATATATGTAACTATATCTATAAGTTCTTCTGCAGAAACCAAAGCCCCCACTCAGGTGGAGGATGTTGACTTCAGCCTGGGCATGACGTCCCGTTTACCTAACCACCGAACGATCGGAAGGACGTCACACACCCAGCAGCCCTCACCCCAGATTTCACCTATGAAAACTTCTCCCTGAAAACCATCCAAGAGTTTGGGGTTTTTTAGCACAAGCTACCTTTCTCTTTGCTTGGCCCTGTTATAAACCTTTCTCTGCTCCAAAGTCCAGCATTTCAGTTAGTTTGGCCTCACGGTGTGCTGGGCACAGAAACCTGGGTTCAGTAATAACTTTGATGAGCCAGCCTGGAGTCTGTGGCTGTGGCGCTTTGACCCTGGCTGGGGGCAGCCCCTTCCCTGAGTCCCCAGCAGCTGCTAGAGCTCACTGCACTCTGGAAAACTCAGAGGGCCTCTCCCTAACAGGCCCTGGCCACCCTGGCATGAGACTCTTTGGAGCTGAGAGTTGTCCTGAGCCATGGTCCACATTTGGCATCTCTTGGTGGTTGCTCTCAGGATAGGAAAATTCTGTCTTCTCCATCTGGCCTCACTTCCCCTTCAGAGAGTGAACCACTCTGGACTGATTCTCTTTTGAGAGCTGGGCTAATCTGTTTGGAGGCCTCCATCCAGGAGTGGAAGTGGACTTTGGGGGCTACACCTCATCTGACCTTTGGTTTGTGGGGCCATGTTTTTTCTACTTCTGTGTGTCTGTATCAGTATTTGCATGGCTGGCTGAGACGTCTTTGGACTCCGAACTCTGATGACAGCAGGGTATTCTTTCCTGTCACATTAGCTCTGCCTGTGATGGAGCAGTGGTTGGGAATTTCCCTTTCTGGGTCTAAGGAACCACGGCCCTGAGAGAACATCCTGCATTGCACTGGTTTGCTGTTTGGTTGTGAATAATAGAGTATGAGTAACCAGGGCTTTGTTCCACTTTGTCATCTCCTGGGAGCATATTTTGCACAACTGGGAGATCTTCCAGTAATGCTGCCATATATGAAAGAAAATGATGTTCTTATGGTAACACTGTTTGGCCTCAAGACTCCTTGTGATCTGGAGAACAATGGCATCCTAATGACTCTGCTATTGTATCAAAAGTGAGCCTTTTGGAATTGGTTTGGCTTTCATTTTGGGTGTGTGCATAAATATCTCAATATCTGAGTTTGAATCCTATTCTCCCTTCCTGGTTTTGACCTTTATTAAGGGATCCTGGTAACTGCTGATTCAAGCTCTTCTGGAAGAGAGGCATGTGAATGTGAGTGAGTAATATGTATTATTGTCTACTGCTGCTACTGATTATAACAGAATTGGCTATTTTGAAACTGAAAAAAATCCCTGAAAATGGCCAAGATGAAACTCTTGGACATTCTAAAACTGGTTTTTGCATCTGCAATTAGAGGAAACTAGATTTGTAGAGAGAATCACTATTTCTCTTCCTGTATCTTTGAGAGGCTGAGTGACCTACCTAGGACTTTAATCACCTGTGATCCCTGAGAGTGAAGGAGAAACGGGCCTTGTTACTCTTGGTGTGTTAAATTACACGGGAAGCATGGTCAGATGAGTGATAAGCTTTTTCAGTTTATACTACATGGATAAATGTTAAAATACAGATATTTTTAAAATGATATGGAATTCCTAACATCTGGTATGTCCTGATAAAATGTTATCAGTCATAATTTCTAATATATGATAAATGGTCAATATATATATATGAAATAATTTTATATGTAATTTTTACAAACTAATTGTTATCTAAGAAATGTTGATTTCTTTTCTGTAAATATTATACTTCTTAGCAGATCTTAGACCTTCCAATAAAAATTCTATATGTGAGTAATACTATTTAATATAGTCAATATTTGTTACCAGGAATTATAATTTTGCTATCTTAAATTCTCTGGCTTTATTGCCCTATTGAATAATTTTTACACCTACTTTGTACATTTTTAGATCTCATTATTTTTTAAATTTACTTTAGACTGCCTTTTTAAAACGAAATCTAATTTTATGCTAATGTTCTTGAGAGAATTTCTTCTTAAAAGGAATTAAAGTTATTTTTTAATAATTTTAAATCAATGAAACACAATAAATGGTCACTGAGCAATCAGAATAATAACCTCCCAC